AATCGCGGCAGCCAATTGCACAGAGCGGTGTCCCACAGACAGTCGTGGACTGAGTGACCGAATTTATTTTTGAAGGGATTATTAACCCCGGAAAGCGATTCCCCCAATCGTTTACCAATAATTTACAATAATTTACCGCAGCGGAGTGTGGAGTAAGGAAACTTGAAGAGATCTGAAATAGATTGGAAGATCAGGAGGAGCGATCTGTCTGTTTTTTGAATAAATCATTAACCTCCTCCGTCTCTCTCTCTCTCTCTCTCTCTCTCTCTCTCTCTCTCAGGTGGGTTTCATTGACTACATTGCCCACCCTCTGTGGGAGACCTGGGCTGACCTGGTCCATCCTGATGCTCAGGAGATCCTGGACACGCTGGAGGACAACAGGAACTGGTACCTGAGCATGATGCCCCAGAGCCCCTCGCCCCCGCCCGAACGGCCCGAGGCTGCCCCCCACCCACCCCAGCCCCCCCCTGACAAGTTTCAGTTCGAGCTGACCCTGGAGGAGGTGGAGGATTCCGAGGGGCCGGAGCAAGAGGAAGGAGAGTTTGACGGGGCAGAGGTTGAAGAGGAAGATGGGAGCCCGAACGGCGGGGACCCAGAGCTGCCCCGGACCCCCGCGGGCGAGGTCTCCCCCTCCCCTGCCGGCACGTAACTCCGACATTCCCACACGCCGGGAGCTTTACACAGCGCAACACCGTGAATTAATCCCAAGGGATTGCCAAGCCCACACACACGCTGGGATTTAACACAGCCTTTTCGGTTGGGGAGGGGGTCCGTCTGGCTGGCGGAGAGACTGCTTACGGCTCGGAACCCGGACCCTCATTTGACAGCACGCGGAGCGGAGCTTTCGGCTGGAAGGAAAGCAGAGAGAGAAGAGGTGGGGGGGAAGAGGACGAGCGATCCTGGGAACCCACTTCATTCCTGCTCGTGTTTTATTGGTGGCTTGTGTCCCAATTTGTTCCCAATTCACCCCAATCTCCTCCCCACCCGGACCACCGCACCGGCTCCCCCCCCACACCCAGCCCAGACCGGCCTGCCAGCCAGCGGGGGAGGGAGAGGCCGTGGGGAGAGCGGGCAGCCAGACCGAGACCACCGCAGAGAGCGAGCGAGCTCCTGTCACCACCCGCCCCGCGCGGGACCTTGTGAAGATATTCCTGTCTTTGGGGAAAGTGATTTTATTTACGTCGGACACAACCGTGACTGTAATCCCCACAAGTGTTGTTTACATGTAATAAGGAAACACGGACACGCAATCAAGCACACGCACACACACACACACACACAGAGTCAGGCACACGCACGCAGTTTGACACACGCACAGTCAAACTGTCAGACACCTATTGTACATATGTGCATACATCAGAAACTTTGGGCACAGATACTCGCCCACACAGAGAGAGACACGCAAACACACACGGACATACACACAGAGATTAGAAACGCGGGCGCGCGCGCACACGCACACAGACACAACACACACACACACAACACACACACAGACGCACACAGTCACAATTCACAAACGTATTTATGATTATTCCCAATTGTAAAAAAAAACACAATTGAAGTCTTCCACATCACAGAGACTGTTTGACACCGTCACCCTTGCCATCCCATAATAGTCACCCCCACTTCATCCCTGCGCTGGTGTCAGTTACCTTGGTGACATCACGCAGGGGGTCTTATATTTAAAGTGAGTGAGTGAGGGTGGTCCGCAGTGAGGGGGAGGCGGGGAGAGGGGGGGGGGAGGGAGGCAGTGGGAGGAGATCTTAGTAATATAACCTCTGGGAGTTTGGATGGGGCTTCGACCCCGAGGGAGGTCTCCCCCATCGTAACAGGAAAGGATTGGGGATCATTCCCTCTGCACATGGTTAACCCACTGCCTCACGGGTTGGTCAGCCGGGTGTCTGACACACGCGGAAACCCATCGCCGGAAACCCACCCAAACCCAACTGAGAATTCCTCACTTCCCCAGAAATCCCAAATTTTACAGTATTTGCCATTAAGCGCAGCGACTATCTTTCACGGACATTGGAGAGTGGGGAGTGGGCGGGAGAGTGCACGTCGAGGTGCGTCACTCACTGGTGTTGATGAGGAACTGGTTGGAGACGCCCGGATGGTCCACGTCGTGGATGGCGGCGGCAAAAATGGCGGCAAGAATCTCGAGGTCCGTGAAGACGGCCTGAAACAGAGAGAGAAATAAATCGCGGCCTGAACATGTGTGCGGGAGCAATGGAGGAAGGGGGATAGCGAGGGAGGTGAGGAGAGCTGCAGAGTGGAGGAGGAAGAGGAGGAGGAGAGGGAGGGAGATGGGCAGAGACTTACATCGAGGGCGGGTGTGGAGAGCAGGATGTGTGTGGACTGAGCCACGTCGGCGGCGTGCAGGCTGTTGTGATAGGCCACGTCAGGGTGGTAGTGATCTTCCAGCGTCATCATGTACGTGACAAAGGTGTCCACGGGGATTCGGAAAGTCTTCAGCAGGTCTCGCTCCTGTCAGCAACAACCGGGAATCAGCCAACACCAAGCCATTCATCAGAGCAGTGTCGCGACACCTCCCTCCTCACTCCCTCGTCCTCTCCCTCCTTCGGTCCCTCCCTTCCTCTCTCTCTCGCCTGCCTCCTCCTCTGCTCTCTCTCTCTCTCTCTCTCTCCCTCCCTCCCCCCATCCTCCCCCTCCCTTCTCTAAATCCCTCCTTCTCTCCATCCCTCCCTACCTCTCTTCTTTACTCCCTCCCTCGCTCCCTAAATCCAGGTCCATATCAAGACAACAACAATACAGTGCCCTTCACACAGAGGGAGCGCCTCAGAGCGCATGAAAACGTGTATCTTTTCCTGCGTCTACCACTGCCCGATACAGAACCAGAACCAGGTGGGGGCGGAGGGCAGGGGGAAGGTGGGGGGTGAACCCACTGACCTGGAAAATGGCGTACATGATGCAGGTGAGAGGCCGGTCGCTGGAGTAGTCGGCCAGTCTGAAGATGTTGAGTCCCCACTTGTTGAGATCTTCCAGTTCCTGAGAAGGACAATAACAAGAAAGAAACCGCGTGCGTGAGTGTGTAAGTGAGCAAGTGTGTGTGGGGGGGGGGGGGGGGGGGAGTAGCTGTATGTGTATATGTGTATTGGGGCCGGGTTGGGGGGGGGGGGAATAATCTAAAGTTGGGTACCTTGGAGAGCGAGTCCTCGTGCTCTGTGTTGACCGCAAAGCGAGGGAGGCTGGAGTTGGTGAGGCTGGAGCTGTGTCGGAGTTTTCTTACGCCGCTGATCTGGGTCATCAGCTGCTGTTTCTTCTTCTTGTCTCTCTCTTTCTGTGTAGGCGACGGCATCTCCACGTCGTTCTGTTTGTCTGTGGGGGAGCCAGAGGCACAAAGTCAGACCCCCAGCCACGCTGCAGCCGTGACACCAGACTGAGATACACTGTCTATTACCCCTCACACACACACACAGCCCAATCCACACACACACGTTGTTGTTATGATACACACGTACAGTCCCACACCCCCCCCCATACACAAGCCCCACGCGCACACACACACACAGACCCCCCACGCACACACACAGCCCCCCCGCACACACACAGCCCCCCCGCACACACACAGCCCCCCCGCGCACACAGCCCCCCCGCACACACAGCCCGCGCGCGTGGACACACACACACAGCCCGCACACGCGCACATACGCACACAGCCCCCACGCACACATACACAGCCCCCGGCATGTCACAGTCCGCTCTCCCCCAACACACACCACACCCCTGCATACACACAGCGCACCCCCCCCTCCATCCCACACACAAACAAACCCCCAGATGTGTGCATATGTGGGTCTCTGTGGGGATCTTGAGGGAGGGGGCTCTGGGGCAGGGGCTCGCGATGGGTGTCTCCAGGGAGGGGGCTCTGGGGCAGCAGCTCGCGGTGGGTGTCTCCAGTGAGGGGGAGGGGGCACTCGGGGAGATGCTCGCGGTTGGAGTGGGGGAGTAACTCACCGAGAAAGGTGTCGGAGATGAACTGAGACACCTGGTTGCCAGAGCGGCTCATCTCAGACAGGTGCGTCAGCTCCCGGTTCAGCATCCTCTTAAACTGGGGGGGAAAGGCAGGAGTCAGAGGCGGTTTCCATCACCCCCACCCCTCCATCAGCCCCACCCCTCCATCACCCCCACCCCTCCATCAGCCCCACCCCTCCACCAGCCCCACCCCTCCATCACCCCCACCCCTCTCCCCGCTCACCCTAGCCATTCTCTACACCCACCTCGCCCAGTACCCCTTGCCCCTCGTTGCATCCAGTCTCTGTCATCTGCCCCGACACACACACCCACCCACACACACCCACACACTCACCCACCCACACACCCACACACACATCCACACACACACACATTCTAACACCGAACTGGATGCATCTTAGTCTTTTCTCGTCTAAAAATTCTGCTTTTAACAGATACATCAATGGAGAGAATTGAGTGAATTGACTGTGTATTTTGTGGGTGAAACATGGCAGCCAATCGCACTCAGTAGTTTAATGGTTTGGGGGCACTCCTCTCTGCCCCCCCCACCCCCCCACCCCCACCACTATCCTTAACTGTATGAAGATGCCGGGAGCTATTTGTGGGACGTTGCTGTGCGCAATTGGCTGCCAAGTTTCGCCCACAAAATACACAGTCACTACACTTTACAGTACATGCTGCGAATAAAGACGTATATACTGTCATAAAGACATGATTAAGGCGCTATATCAAATGCAATTACTATTATTATTATTATTATTTTGGTTGGAGGGGATTATTGCCCCCGGAAAGTGATTCGCCAACTGACAACCTGCGTTGGATTTGATCCCCCCGTCCCACTCCCACGTTGGGGATTCTGAGCTCACAGTCGAGGCTGATGCTCCAGTGCAGTGTTGGGGGAATGTGGGTGCACTGTCAGTGGTGCTGTCCTTCGAATGAGTTGTTAACCCCCACTCCCTATCTGTGCCCTATTCAGGCAGACGGTTAAAATCTCCCGCAGCACTGTCGAGAAAAGAGAGTTCTCTCTCCTTATATCGTCTTTCACTTCATGGCCGTGGGTGTGGGACGTACGTCCCTGTGCTCAAAACTGGCTGCTGCGACACACGGTCACTACACCCAACAATAACCACTGTGAGGAGCTGTCAGTCGCCTTCGATATTACGGCAAATGTAATAATAATCCTTTCATTTCATATCGCGTCTTATCACGTCGTTGAGATGTCTCACGGCTCTTCGCGGGATTTTACTGTGCAGCGAAGTGACTGTGTATTTTGTGGGCGAAGGCGGCAGCCGGTTTGCGCGCAGCGACGACCTGCAAACAGCCCACGGGGTGAGCGAGCGATTTTTTCTGGGGAGTTATTGGCCAGCGAACCGGGGGGAGAGAGAACGAGAAAAACTCCCTCGTCTTTTCCAACAGCGTCGCGGGAGATCTTCAACGTCCGCCTGAACAGGGCAAGGACGGGACCTTGGCTTAATGTCCGACCTGAAGCCCTGAAGCACCGGCGGGAGAGTCAGTCAGCCTGGGCTGTGAGCTCAGAACCCACAACCTTCTGCGTCAGAGTGTGAGTGACTGAGCCGAGCTGCAAGAATGTTAGGAATGAATCGATTCGCCTGTGGGGCGCGGAGTCTCTCATTAATGGGGAGGTTGGGCAAAGCGGAGAGCTGTTGTTTCACAACCCAACCACGGAGAGGAGGAGGACGAGAAGGAGAGGCAATGTTACCAAATCGGGCAGATTAACGTAACCCCAGCCTGTGAGCTCCCCCGAGCTCACGTCAAGGAGGCAGCAATCTCGTCAGAGACGTTACGAAAGATCAGTTCAGTCCGTCTTGCTTTATAATGTGCCAATTGTTCCCAGTGACGAGCTGCCCTTGGCCGGGAAATAGAGGTGGAGGGGTGGGGGGGGGGGGGGGGGGGGAGTGGAGATCAGAGAGGTCGAGGAGCCAGAGGTAGTGAAACCACTACATTCACGGTCTGTGACCCTAAGGCTCAACACAAACTCTCTGAATGTTTTTCTGGGTGTGACAACTCAACTATACACAGCTGTCAGCACTGTGTCTGTCACTGGGAGCGCGTATCAGCACAGACCCGATGCGGAGAGAGAGAGAGAGAGACAGGGAATGGGGTTAGAGGAGAGAGCTCCAGTGGGGGGAGCGAGCACCGGGACAGCCGTGATGGGGAGAGGGCAGGGACTGGGGTTAGAGTGGAGAGCTCCAGTGGGGGGGGAGCGAGTACTGGGACAGCCGTGATGGGGAGAGGGCAGGGACTGGGGTTAGAGTAGAGAGCTCCAGTGGGGGGAGTGAGCACCGGGACAGCCGTGATGGGGAGAGGACAGGGACTGGGGTTAGAGTGGAGAGCTCCAGTGGGGGGGGGGGGAGCGAGCACCGGGACAGCCGTGATGGGGAGAGGGCAGGGACTGGGGTTAGAGTGGAGAGCTCCAGTGGGGGGGGGGGGGAGCGAGCACCGGGACAGCCCTGATGGGGAGAGGGCAGGGACCGGGGTTAGAGTGGAGAGCTCCGGTGGGGGCGGCGGTGGGAAGGTGGGGTTTGGTGGGGGCAGCGAGTTGACAATGAATGTTTATCTCCTCTATTGTGTTGTATGTTGTAGGAAATCCTGAGCGGCTGATTATGTGTTGACGCTGCGACGAAGAGAGACAAAGGCCAGTGCGTGGAGACAACACTCGGGCGGATGTGGACAAGCAATGAGAGGGCAGCAGAGGAAGAGCCAGCCAGCCCGCCCGCCATCGTGCTCCCGTCACACTGGCCGCAATGTCCGGTGACCTCCGCTCTCGCTGTTTGCTCAACAACCCCACTGACGCTCTTACCACCTCACTCTCTGTCTCATTGCCTCCTCCACACGCCTCCCCGCCACAATCAACCGCTTCCTGTTTTTCTGTCGGGACCCACACCCAACTGAGCCAAAACATCACTCGCAGAGGAGAGGAGAGAAGGAGATTTAAAGGGACCCCTCTTCCCCCCCCCCCCCCCACCCCTCACCTTCACTCGTTTCCCCGTCCACTCCCCACCTCTCCCCGTTTTCAGGTACATGACGTGGGTTACCAATGCCTTGAGCCACACCGAGACTGACTGCAGTTGTTATTATTATTAGAATAATCCTCACATTTGATATAGCGCCTTTTGCTGAGATGTCTCAAGTTGCTTCACAGAATAACAACAACAACTTGCACTATATAGCGCCCCACACGCAGGGTAGAATCCCAGTATAAATAATATACTGTAAAGTGGAGTGACTGTGGGTGAAACGCAGGAGCACACAGCAGTGTCCCACAAAGATGGATTGAGTGCCCACATTTGGGGGGGAGGGGGTGGAGAGGAATTATTCTCCCCGCAAATTCCGCGTTTGATTCCCGGGCAGAGTGAAACGTTAGGCAAGTTTCCTTACGCCACACGCAAGCCTCTGTTTACCTAACAATAAGTAGGAAGGTTGTGTTTTGATCGGCACATGGCTTTCCGGGGTAATAAACCCTTGAAAAAAAGAATAATAATAATGCTTCACTCAATCCGCCGCTGTTTTTGGGACACTGCTGTGCGGCCGCAAATACCCACAGTCGCTACGCTTTACAGTACAATCTGTGAAGCGTTTTGAGATGCCTCGAAGAAGCTTTAAAGGCGCTGTATTAAAAATGCAAGGATTATTACTTAAGCGCTCTGAGACGCTGCCCTGAGCGGAGGGCGCTGTAAAAGTGCAAGTTCTTGCAATTATTTATTATAGATTATCTGAAGTGGTGGGAGAGTGGGATTAGTGAAGGGTTAAGCACGGTACCTTGTTGGAGGCCATCTCGCTGACGGAGCGATAGGTTTGGATGGTCTCCAGCTGGTCTAGGCACCAGTCCAGTTCCTCCAGTGTCTCCATGGCCACCTTCTGGTATGACTCCTCTGCAAACAAGTAGCCAGGCCGGCCATCAGCACTGCCCAGCTCCCCACTCTCCCGCTCCGACCCCACCGGGAGGCTCAGAGACACGCTCAACTTCTCCTTCATCCTCGGCCACTCGCTCCCTCGCTTTCTCGCTTCTTTTCTTTCTTTTCTTTCTTTCTTTCTTTCTTTCGTTTTCTTTCTTTCTTTCTTTTTCTCTCTCTCTCTCTCCCCCTCGCTTGCTCTCTCTCCCTTCTTCTCTCTCGCTCCTTTGCTCGCTCTCTTTCCTCCTCTCTCGCTCCTTTGCTCTGCCTCTCTGTCTCTCTCCCTTGCCTGCTCTCTCTCTCTCTCTCCTCTCTCCTCTCTATCCTTCTCTCTCACTCTCGTGGAGTGAATGAGTGAGTTTGGTTGCCGACTGTCCTGCCCTGTCTGTTCTGACGAAGGATTGTGGACCTGAAACTTTGACTCACTTTCCTTCCTCCGTAGATGCTGCCTGACCTGCTGAGCGTTCCCAACGACTTCTGTGTTTATTTCAGATTTCCAGCATCTGCAGTACTTTGCGTCTGTCTGTCTGTTTGTCTGTCTGACTGTCTGACTGACTGACTGCAGAGTTTCTTTGTGGCTTTCAGGATGTCAGCAATCACTTAGAACTGACTTCCCTCCTCCCAAAACCAGTTGGAGGAATACTCCCAGACAAGACGTCACTTTTGGGAATTAGACTTAGTCACAAGCCGTGCCTGAGCCGTGAGTCGCTCTCGCTCGCTCGGTCTCTGATCTCTGTGACACATCCATCAGCTCGGAGTCTTCGGTCTTCCCCCCTCCAACCCCAATTCCCCCTCATTCACTCACACGCTTACAAACGCAGACACTCACATACACACACAAACATACGCTCACACACACACTCACACACACAAATACACTCACTCACACACACACTCACTCACACACACACTCACTCACACACATACACTCACACACATACACTCACACACTCATAGACACTCACAGACAGACACACACACACACACACACGCTCACATATGCACTGACATAAACAAACACTCACATGCACAGACACACACACGCTTACATATATACACAGTCACACACTCACACACATACAGACACAAAATAAACCTACCCTCACGGACACACTAACATGCCCACTGTGAGGGGTGGGGATGTCTTTAAGAAGTGTCTGCACTATCTGCGCCACTTTTCATTTTGTTTTTAGACGAAGGGTCAGACAAGCTCAGACCGGGTGGAATTTTGGGGCCGCGCTTGCGGAGTTCAGTGCTGTGGCTTTTGGTCTGCAGCATAGCTGTGTGTGTGCTGGGGGGTTGCGTGTATGCATGTGTGTGTGTGTGTGTGGGGGGGGTTGTGTGCGTGTGTGAGCGTGAGTGGGGGGGGAGGGTGCGTGCGCGCACGTGTGTGTGTGGGGGGAGAGTGTGTGTGTGTGGGGGTGTTACGCGCGCGCGGGTATGTGTGTGTGGCATGTATATTTGTGCGCTCCGGGGGGGGTTGCATGTGTGCGCGCGCGGGGATGTGTGTGTGGCGGGAGGGGGGTGGGAGGGTGATGCATGTGTGAGCGCGGGTGTGTGTGGCGGGGGGGGGTTTTGCATGTGTGCGCGCGTGTGGCGTGCGGGGCTTCGTGCGCGTGCATGCGTGTGCGTGTCCACACGCGTGTGGCGCACGTGGGGGTGCGTGTGTAGTCAGCAGCAGAGTGAAGAAACTCCCCAGTAACTGGAAACACACGGCCTGGATTTCCCCAACTGGAGACCGGCTTCGGCTGCCATTGACGACAACATCATCAATCAGATGATGACTCAATGCCTTTCGCAACCGGAGGAAGCCTTAAAGAGCTTCATCCTCGCACTTTTGGCTATGTCGCGCCTTATCGCGTCGTCGAGACGTCTCAAAGCGCTTCACGGGATACACTGCGAAGCGCTGCGAGCGTGTTTTGTGGGAGAAACCCCGGCCGCCAGCGACGTGGCGCGAGTGACTACGTTTTAGTGTTGGCCCGGACGCAGGGAGAGAGAAACTCTCTTCTCGTTCGCAATAGCGCCATTGGGATCTTTCACGTCCGCCGGAACAGGCAGACAGGAACCTCAGGTTAGCGTCTCATCCGAAGATATTGCTGCGCAGGATAGTACTGTAAAGCGTAGTGACTTGTGTTTTGTGGGCGAGCGCGACAGGCAATTTGCACACAGAGCCTGTGTTTGGGAAGTGAGCCGTTGTAATGTGGAGGGGGGAGGGGAGGGGAAAGGAGGGTGGAGGAGTGGAGGAGTTTTCAGGTCAATTACTGGGGAAGTGGACACTCGGAGGCTGAGGCGGGCTGGGAATTGGAAACTGTTGAGCTAAGACGCAATGGTGACTCACTCCAATTCAGTCATCAACATACTCAGAATGGGTCGTGTGTGCGTGTGTGTGCGAGAGAAAGTGCGTGCGCGAGAGGATGTGTGTGCAAGAGAGTGTTTGTGTGTGGGAGTGTGTGTGTGAGAGAGAGTTATACGTGACGGAGTGTGTGTGAGTCAGTGGGTGTGCGCGTGAGAGTGTGTTTGAGTGAGTGAGTGAGTGAGTTACCGAGGGGGAGGGGGTGAGATCATGAAACCCGACACTTCCCAACTCTTCCCCGTGAGTTAAAGTAACACCTCAAAGCGCTTCACCGGATTTAACGTAAAGTGTAGTGACTGTGTATTTTGCGGGCCAAGTGCGCAACCAGTTTGCGCACAGCGACCTCCCACAAACGGCCATGAAGTGAGCGAAATTTTATTTGGGGAATTTGGGGGGGGGGGGGGGGGGGGGGGGCAGGACACTGGAACATCCGCCTGAACAGAGCACAGACGGGGAGTGAGGTTTAACATCTCATCCCCGACAATGCAGCCCCCAAACCACCAGCACCGCAAACTTTCTTATCCCAGAGGCGAGACAGATACAGCAGTTGAGTATGTGGAGGGAGAGAAACACAGCGGCCATTATGGCGGTGGGTGGTGGTGGTGGTGGAGGGGGGTGGTGGTGGTTGGAACAGGGGAGGAGTTAGAGATCTTCGGGGCAAAGAGGAGATAAAACAATAATAATCCTTGCATTTGATATAGCGCCTTATCATGTCTTTGAGACGGCTCTGCTTCATCTCCACAAAACGCTTTCTCCTCTTGCCCCCGTACAGTCTCGTGCGGTGTTCCTCAGGGCTGTGTCCTTGTCCCCCTCCTCTTCAACCTCTACGTGCTCCCCCTTGGTGACACCATCCGTAGACATGGGGTCAACTTCCACATGTATGCGGATGACACCCAACTGTACCTCTCTGCCTCCACCTTCGACTCCAGGACTACTGCTGTCCTGACAGAATGTCTGTCAGACATCAAGTCCTGGATGATGGCCAACTTTCTACAGTTGAACGTCAACAAGACCGAGGCTCTCCTCCTTGGCTCCCGTCGGAGACTCCACGTCTCAGGCGCTGACAGCATCACCGTCCATGGTTGCACACTCCAACTTGCTAAGCCAGTCTGGAACTTTGGGGTCTTGTTTGACCCTCAACTATCTTTTCTACCCCACATCGGCGCAACGACCTGCTCTGCCTTCCCCCACCTCTGCAATGTCGCCCGGCTCCTCCACTGTCTCACACCGCAGGCCCCGAAAACCTCATACACACATTCATAACATCGAGGCTTGACTATGCAAGCTCCCCGCTTGTCGGCCTCCCCAACTCCTCCCTCCACAGGCTGCAGATCATCCAGAACTCTGCAGCCCGTGTCCTCTCCCGCACCAGGCTCCGCGACCCTGTCACCCCCATCCTCGCCTGACTCCACTGGCTTCCCATCACACAGAGGATACACTTCAAGATTCTGATCCTCACCTTCAAAGCCCTCCACGGTCTTCTCTCCACTATCTCCGTGACCTCCTAACCCCCTTCCATCCTGCTCGTCCCTCCACTCAGCGGCTCCGGCCTGCTTCACGTCCCCCGACTCGCTCGCCACACTATTGGCAGGTGGGCTTTCTGCCACTCTGCCCTCGACCTCTGGAACTTCATCCCGCAGTCCCTCCGCCTCGCCTCCTCCCTCGCCACCTTCAAGACACATCTCAAGACCCTCCTCTTCGACCGTGCTTTCGATCTCCCTGCACTCCACCCACCCCAACCCCGACCCCCAGCTCGGGTCCGTAACTCCATCTGTCCAGCGCCTTGGGACGTCCTCCTGACCTGACAGGCGCTTTACAGATGTAATTTTGTTGTTGTCTCAAAGCGCTTCACAGAACGTACTGTAAAGTGAATTGACTGCGTATTTTGTGGGTGAAAAATTTGCGCACAGCAGCTTCCCACAAACAGTCGCGCACTGAGTGAAGGCTTATTACCCCCGAAAAGCAATACGCCATTCGACTAACGACCGGGTTCCCACTTACAGAGGCGTGTGGAGTAGGGAAAGTTGCCCAACGTTTTGCCCTGCCGGCAATTAAACCCAGGTTCTCTCGCTTGCAAGTCAAGCAGTCAAACCGCTGAGCTACAGGACTCCCTGGGGGGTGGGGGGGGTTGGGGTTGGGGGATTGAGTTGTTTTTCTCGCCTCGTTTTTACTGATTCTCATTCCAGACGTCAGTTCCCAGCTTCCTCAGAGCCGACAAACAGGAACAGGAAAAAGCTGCCCCTGTGTAGCATACTTCGGAGAGCCAGAATAACAGGAAATTCCCTCTTTTCCGCATCCCAGATGACGTTAAATGACACCATTAATTCTGCTCAGCCTTCTCTCTCTGCGTTTAAACAGCGATGGCGGGGGGGGGGGAGGAAGAGGGAAGCCCCCAATTCCCCACAGCCGAAACCCTCCATCAATATCTCTCTCATCCCCTCTTTTGAGAACGCAGATTGTACAATAATAATAATTTCGCCCACAAAAATACAGCCAATTCACTTTGCAGTATTATCCAGTGAAGACGTGATCAGGCGCCGCGTTAAATGCGAGAATTATTATTAATAAGAATAATAACCTTTGCAATCTGGTACGACTTACGGTTGAGATGTCTCAAAAGTTTCACAGGATTTCACTGAAAAGTGTAGTGACTGCGTCTTGCGTGAGCCAAGCTCTGTGCCGGCAATTTGTGCACAGCCGTGAAGCGAGCGAGCGAGCGAGCAATCTTTATCTGCGGGTGGGATTGTCGGCCAGGACACCGGGGGAGAGGGAGAAACTCCCTTCTCTTTTACGACAGCGCCCCGGAGGTCTTTAACGTCTGCCTGGACAGGGCGCAGGCGGGCGGGGGGAGGTAGGAGGTGGGAGGTGGGGGGGTTGTGCTAGGTGGTGGGGTTCAAAACGTCTCATCTGAATGATAGCTTCTCTGACAACCCCAGTGCTGCACTGGACTGCGAGCTCAAAACCCCCGATGTGGAGCTTGGATGGAGAGAACGGCCGCCTTCTGGAAGATTCATTGGTTTGGCGAGGGGTGGGGGGGGGGGGTGGGGGAGTAACCGAGACCTTGTGAGACACTTTCTGTCCAGCGGGAGACAGGAAATGCCCTGTTGAGCGAGGAAGGGGACACGGAGGTCACACACACAGCTCTGACGTCAAACTGCTCGGCAACGGGAAGAACAGAGACAGTAACAATGGACATCAGCCCGAGCTGCCGTCAGCCTGACTCCCAGCCCGGCTCAGCCCCTCGCTCTCTCTCTCTCGCTCTCTTTTGTGCTCTCTCTCTCTTACTCTCTCTCTCGTGCACGCACCCTCTCTCCCACGCCCTCTCACGCGCTTTCTCTCTCTCTCTCTCGTCCTCTCACTCTCGTGCGCTCTCTCTATCGCTCTCTCTCACTCTCATGTACTCAGTCTCACACACGCTCTCTCTCTCTCTCTCTCTCTCTCACTCACGTACTCTCTTTCTCTCTCTCTCTCTCTCTCTCGCTCCAGGAAGTCGTGTGCTGATGTTCCAGTGCAATGCTGGGGGTGGGTGGGGGGGGGGGGTTACATTATCAAGAGATTCTGTCCTTCAAATGAGACGTTAAAGCAAGTTCCTGGCTGTTCAGGTGGACGTTGATGATCCCGTGGCGCTGTGGTTACATAAAAAGAGAAGGAAGTTCTCTCTCTCTGGGCAGGTGTCTCTCTCTGGCTTGTGGCTGGGACAGAGACTTAGACAGGGGAGACAGAGACTGAGACAGGACTGAGGGCGAGACGCAGACAAACAAAACACCAGCACCCAATCTGCCCTTCGAGCAACCAGTCTTTAAAGAGATAATCGCGTACCTGTCAGGCTGATTCGGGTGCACGGAGTCTGGGTCCCAGCTGGGGATCTCCTGTACAGAGAGAGAGAGAGTGAGTGAGAGTGAGAGTGAGTGACATAGAGTGAGAGAGAGAGAGATGGAGTGATAGTGAGTGAGTTAGAGTGAGTGAGAGAGAGAGAGAGAGAGAGAGGGAGGGGGAATGGAGTGTTAGTAAGTTAAGAGTGAGATAGAGTGAGAGAGAGATTAAGAGAGACAGAGAGTGAGATAGCGTGAGAGAAAGAGTGATAGCGAGTGAGAGATAGGTGAGAGAGAGATAGTGAGTGAGATAAAGCGAGAGAGAGAGAGAGAGAGAGAGTGAAGGTAAGAATAAGAGAAAACATGAGAAAGGCAGAGGAAGAGAGTCAGTGAGAGGGAGACACAGCCGGAGTGAGTGAGACAGAGTGAGCGATAGAGAGTAGATAGAGTGAGAAAGAGTGAATGTGAGAATAAGAAAAATGTAAGGAAGACAGAGAGAGAGAGAGAGAGAGAGAGAGAGAGAGAGAGTGAAGAAGAGTGGGCAGTGACCTACTTTCTCACGGTAAACAATAAAAGCTCCGTCTCCACCCACTCCCCCCACAATAGTCCGATCCCCAACCCCCAACATTCGCCCCAGGTACCCGCAGTCTGGTGTAGTGACTGTTTTTTTGCAGAGATTGTAAACGGAAAATAGTGTAACGGGCGATAAACAAATCAAGTAATCAACTAAACTAACAGGACGCAGCTTCCCCGGGTACTGGTTGGTAGGTTTTGAAATTCCGACGCGCATTAAAAAGCGGCTCGAAATAATCAGTGTGTCCCGCGAAGCGCTTTGAGACGTTCTCGGAGACGGAATAAGGCGCTGCATCAAACGCAAGGATTATTGATAAGATCGGGGGCTGTGCGTGATCGCCCTCTGCTGGCAGTTCCTGGGCACTGTAAGCAGCTGTTAAATAATAATAATAATAATAATAATAATAGCCCACGCATTACGTCGTCGAGACGTCTCAAAGCGCTTCACGGGAATGTGCTGCAAAGTGAATTGACTGTGCATTTTGTGGGAAAAACGCAACCGCAAACATTGGTGGGTCGAGTGACCACATTATTTTGGGGGTGGCGGGGGCGGGGGGGGGAAAGGGGGAAGGGGGAAGGGGTGGGGGGGGGAATTTATTATCCTGGTAAAGAGATCGGCTAACAACTGGGTTCTTACTTATTGCTAATTAACAGAGGTGCGTGGAGTGAGGTAACCTCCCTATGTTTCCTTCCCGCATGGGAATCGAACCTGGGTCCTCCTGCGAGTGCTCTGACCACTGAGCTACAGGACTCCACATGGTCCCACACTCCCCCCCTCCCATCATTGCCTCCCCTCCCCCAACCAGCACTACCGCCCCCCCCTCCCCACCATCACCACCAATGCTCCCATTCAGCACTGCCCCCCAGCACTGCGCCCCCCCCAGCACTGCCCCACCCCCCAGCACTGCGCCCCCCCAGCACTGCTCCCCAGCACTGCGGAAGGTACCTGCCAGTGGCTCCCTGCACGTTGGTCAATAAGGAGAAGTTGCTCCTGATGCTCCTCAGACTGGCCAGAACCTGAGGACGAGTAATGAGAGGAATCAGCCGTCACCGCCGGAGTGACCGCAGAGCGACTGGGTGGGGGGGGGAGGAAAGAGTGAGGGGGGGGGGGAGAAACGTACCTGGGCAAACGGTGTGACTATCAGGTCATCTCCGTGCCTGAAAAGCAGAAGAGTAGAGTTCAGTCACTGTGAGTCTAATGGCTCCCCATTCCCACTCCGGCGGCTCGTTCTAACACAACCCCAGTGTAGTGTCCCCACCCCCCGCACCCCCACCCTCCACCCCACCCCACCCACCCACCCAGCGCTGTACTGGAGCGTCAGGTTGGCCTATGAGCTCAGAGTCCCCCGTCGTGCAGGGCTCGAATCCACAACCTCGTGACGTGTGTGTTCCAACTCCTCAAAGCGCTTCACAGCATCCGCTGTAGAGCGCAGTGACTGCGTATTGCGTGGGCGAAACGCGGCAGCTGGAGCGCGGCGCTCTGCCGTACATCTCGCTGGCGATGGAGGAGTTCCTGGACATGGACTTGGGCGACAGCTCGTAGTCGCTGTCGGAGCGGTACAGGAACGACTCTCGTCGCTGGCCCTGGCTTGGGACGGTGGTCTGGAGAACCAGCGCTGACCCCGGGCTCGGCTGTGTGTCCAGTGGGCTCCGGCCTCCGGACGCCCCATTTTCCAACTCGAAACTGCGTAGAAACACAAGAGAGCTTCATTAGCAAGATATTGCTCTTCCCTTCCTCCTTCACTCCAGGACTCCTCACCTCCCTAATTCTTCCCATCCTCCTACACTCCAGGACTCCTCACCTCCTTTACACTTCCCTTCCTCCTTCACTCCAGGACTCCTCACCTACTTTACACTTCCCATCCTCCTACACTCCAGACTCCTCACCTCCCTAATTCTTCCCATCCTCCTACACTCCAGGACTCCTCACCTCCTTTACACTTCCCTTCCTCCTTCACTCCAGGACTCCTCACCTCCTTTACACTTCCCTTCCTCCTACACTCCAGACTCTTCACCTCCTTTACACTTCCCTTCCTCCTACACTCCAGGACTCCTCGCCTCCCTAATTCTTCCCATCCTCCTACACTCCACGACCCCTCACCTCCTTCACTCTTCCTCCTACACTCCAGGACTCCTCACCTCCCTCACGCTTCCCTTCCTGCTGCACTCCAGGACTCCTCACTGCCCTCATACTTCCTTTCCTTGTACACTCCAAGAGTCCTCATCTCCCACACTTACATTTCGCCTTCACTCCAGTACTCCTCACCTCATTCACTCTTCCCTTCCCCCTACATTCCAGGAATCCTCACCTCATTAATGCTTCACTTCCTCCTACACACCAGGATTCCTCACCTTCCCTTCCTCCTATATTTCAGGACTCCTCAACTCCCTCACTCTTCCTTTCCTCTTACAATCCAGGACTCCTCACCGCCTTCACTCTTCCCTTCCTCCTACACTCCAGGACACCACACCTCACTCACACTTCACTTCCTCCTACACGCCTCACCTCTTTCACGCTTCCCTTCTTCCTATGCTTCAGACTCCTCATCTCCCTTCCCCTTCCCTTCCTCGTACACTGCTTATCTCTTTCATGCTTCCCTTCCTCCTACACTCCAGGACACCACACCTCACGCATTACTCCCTTCCTCGTACACTCCAGGACTCCTCATCTCACTGCTCTTATGTTTCGCCGTCACTCCAGGACTCCTCACCACCCTCATTCTTCCCATCCTCCTACACTCCAGGACATCTCACTTCCCTCGATCCTACACTCCCCTTCCTTCTACGCTCGAGGACTCCTCACCACCTACACGCTTCCCTTCCTCCTTCACGCCAGGACTCCTCATCTCCCACACTCTTCCCTTCCTCTTACACTTCAGGATTCCTAAGCTCCCTCACTCTTCCCTTCTTCCTACACTCCAGGACACCTCACCTCCTTCACACTTCCCTATCTCCTATACTCCAGGACTCCTCACCTCCCTCACTCTTCGCTTCCTACTACACTCCAGGATCCAACACCTTTCATTCCTCCTATACTCCGGGACTCCTCAACTCTCACACTCTTCCCTTTCCCCTACACTCCAGTTCTCCTCACCTCCTTCACGTTTCCCTTCCTTCTACACTGAGGATCTCCTCACGTCCCTCACTCTTCCCTTCCTGCTACACTCCGGGACTTCTCACCTCCTTTACAATTCCCTTCCTCCTACACTCCAGGACACCTCAACTCTTTCACATCTCTTCCTCCTATACTCCAGGACTTCTCAACACATTCATGCTTCCCTTCCTCCTATACTTCATGATTCCTCACCTCCCGTACTCATTGCTTCCCCTACGCTCCAAGACTCCTGACCACCTTCACGCTTCCCTTCCTCCTACACACCAGGACACCACACCTCACTCACTCTATCCTTCCTCCTACATTCCTCACCTCTTTCACGCTTCCCTTCCTGCACTCCAAGACTCCTCATCTCCCGCACTCTTACGTGTTCCTCCTTCACTCCAGGACCCATCACCGCCCTCATTCTTCCATTCCTCCTACACTTCAGGCCACCACACCTCCCTCACTCCTACACTCCCCTTCCTCCTACACTCGAGGACTCCTCACCTGGTTCACTTTTCCATTCCTCCTATTCTCTAGGACTCCTCATCTCCCTCACTCTTCCCTTATTCCTGCATCTAGGACTCCTCACCTCCTTCACGCTACTCTTTCACCTACACACCAGGACTCTTCAACGCCCTCACGCTTCCCTTCCTCCTACACTCCAGGAGTCCTCACCTCCTTCACAATTCGCTTCCTCCTACTCTCTAGGACTCTTCACCTTCACTTGCTGCTATACTCCAGTACTCATCAACACCCCCACTCTTCCCTTCCTCCTATAATTTACGACTTCTCACATCCCTCACTCTTCCTTTCCTCCTACACTCCAGGACTCCTAACCCCCCTCACACTTCCCTCCTCCTACACTCCAGGACTCCACTCCTCCAGGAAACCGCGTTTACGCTTCCCTTCCCCCTACACTCTAGGACTCCTCACCTTCACGCTTCATTTCCTCCAACACACCACCTTCACCTCCTTCACACTTTTCTTCCACCAACACGCCAGGACTCTGCACCTCCTTCACGCTTCCCTTCATTCTGCACTCCAGGACAACTCACTTCCCTCACTGTTCCCTTCCTCGTACACTCCAGGACTCCTCACCTCCTTTACAATTCCATTCCTCCTACACCACAGAACGCCTCACCTCCCTCATTCTTCCCTTCCTCCTACACTCCAGGACTTCTAACTTCCTTCATTCCTCCCTTCAGGATTCCAGGATACATTCCAGGATACCTGAACTCCTTCGCACATCCCTTCTTCGTATACTACATAACTTCACCCTTCCCTTCCTCCTATACCCTATTCTCACCTCCCTCACACATCTCTTCCTCCTACAATCCAGGACTCCTCACCTCCCTAACACTTCCCATCCTCCTGCACACCAGGACTCCTCACCTCCCTCACTCTTCCCTTCTTCCAGCATTCTAGGATTCCTCACCTCCCTCACTTTTCCCTTCCTCCTCGACTCCAGGTCTCCTCACCTCCTTCACACTTCCTTGCCTCCTACGCTTCAGGACTCCTCACCTCCATCACTTTTCCTCCTACACTCTACAGCTATCCTCACCTATTCCCTTCCTCCTAGCGCAGACCTGGTGGTGAGAGAGCAGGGAATGCGATTAGAGTAGAGAGCTTCAGTGGGGGAGCGAGCACCAGCACAGAGACTTGCCGTATTATTTTGGCTTTCAAAATGAGTAGTAATTACATAATGTCACCATAAGATGGCGGGAGGTAACCAGTAGCCTGAGAGGTTGGGCTGGGAGCTGAGGTGAAGAGACATTTCTCCTGAATTCTAGAGAAAAACATCTTTTCACAAATGATGAAAGAGCTGATAGTGGGTCTGAGGCTAATAAGCGGAAGTTTCCTCTGCTCTTTGTGTTGGGGGGGGGGGCTGTTTGGTGGAGTTGAGACCCCTCTTTTTGATCTTTTTTGGTCAGCTGTGTGTGACACATGCAGAAACCCATCAACTTGCTTAATAACAATAATCCTTGCATTTGATCTCGCGCCTTGTCACGCTTGTACTGTAAGGTGATTCGACTGTACATTTTGTGAGCAAAACAAAATGGGAGAGCATCCAAACCGAGATGAGACTTCCATGCAGCATCCCACCGACACACGGAAACCCCAGAGATAGATTATTGGAATTGAATGCACTCTCTCTCTCCCTGGAGGGATGCATTCCTGCTTACCTAATTCTGCAGAGTGTGCCTTGGGGTAACTGCTGGAGTCTAACTTGCTAAAAACCATTGAGATGTGAAGGTTAGGAGGAGGATAATAATAAGATAATCCTTGCATTTGATACAGCGCCTTATCGTGATTTCGAGACATCTCAAAGCGCCTTATGGAATATACTGTAAAGTGAATTGAATGTACGTTTTGCGGTCGAAACGCGGTAGCCAATCGTGGATTGAGTGACCAAATTATTTTTATTTATTTTAAAGGAATTATTATTCCCAGAAAAGCGATCCTCCAATTGACTGACAACCGGGTTCCTGCTTACCGCTGGGTAAACAGTGGCGTGTGGAGTAAGGAAACTTGGCCAATGTTTCGCCGTGCCCGGGAATCCAACCCGGGGGAGAAAGCACAAAAATCTGGAATTCTCTCCCCCCAAAAGGCTAGGGGCGCCAGGTTAAGTGGAATTGCCAGGGTGGAGGTGCGGACAGCTATTTGTTGGGTCAGGGTGTCGAGGGAGACGGAGCTGAGGCGCGGCTGATCGCGTGTAGAGCCCTCTGACGAGTATAAAAATAATGATAACCATTGCGTTTGATACAGCGCCTTATCGTAGGAACCCAGGAACAGAAGGAAAAAAAAATGCGGCTGAGCTCTTTCACAGAATATGCCGTGTGTCTTTACGGGCGGAAAATGTTTTAAACAGTGCACTTTGGGGGTGATGGGCAGTGATGGAGCCTGGCGAGGGGCGGCGGTGGTGGTTTGGGGGGCGTGGGTGTGAGGGAGTTGGTAGAGCCTGGCAAGGATGAAGGGGGGGGGGGTTTGGGGGGTGATGGTCTGCCTGTCTCTAACAATCACCTCTCGCTGCTTCCTTATTGTGTATTTGTGCATGATACTTTCTTGCTGTCAGCGTGACAAATGGAATTTAATCCCTCTGACAGCTCGGGAGCCGGCAACCATTAAAGATTTAAGGCTGTGAATAATTGGTGCCCGTCTCACGCACCACCACCACCACCACCCCCCTCCCCACCCCCACCACCACCCTCAGAGACCAGAGACTCGAACTCATGTCAGGCAACTCAATGATGTCAGCCTCACAGTCAGCAAGTAATCCTCTGCTCATCACTGTGTGTGTGTGTGTGTGTGTGAGACATAGGGAGAGAAAAACAGAGAGCGGGAGAGAGACAGAAAGGGGCCGAGACTGAGGGAGAGAGAGACGCAGACAGACAAGAGAGACGGAGATAGGGAGGGAGGGAGTGAGGCAGAGAGAGTGAAAGAAAGGGTGAGAGAGAGACCAAAAGACTGAGAGAGAGGGAGGGGGGGGAGAGATACAGAGAGAGTGGGGGGGTGGGAAGCAGACAGAGAGAGAGAGAGAGAGAGAGAGACGAAAAGAGAGATTATATATATAGAAACAGAGTGAC